AGTTATAAATAAAACAAATAAATGATTGTAATTATTATTTAAACAACATTTTTTAAATAATACTACAAAAATGGGAGAATTCGTCCTGGGATTAATTTCCTAGCATCATGAAATCAAAATAAGAATAAGAATAAAATTCATGAGTGATGCAGCAAAAGGAATTTCGTATCTTCATGATAATGTAATATTACACAGAGACATTAAACCAGACAACATTCTTGTGTTATCACAAGATATAAATTATAAAGTGAATGCTAAATTGACTGATTTTGGATCATCAAGAAATATTAACTTGTTAATGACAAATATGACTTTCACCAAAGGTGTTGGAACTCCAAAATATATGGCACCTGAGGTGTTGAACAAAAAGAAGTACACAAAAAGCGCATATGTGTACTCGTTTGGTGTATCTTTGTTTGAATGTGCTATATGGAAAGACCCATATTTGGATAAACAATTTAAATTTGCATGGGATATAGTCGACTTTGTTGTGAGTGGAAAACGCCAAAAAAGGCCGTCTTACTTGAAAGAAGACATATACAACATTGTGGACGATATGTGGTGTCAAGACGTACACAAAAGAATAAACGTGAGAGATGTAATATTGAAACTAGAAAGCATTAACATTTAATTGAAATTATTTTTTTTGTCAATAACAATTAATAACATCAACGTCATTTCAGTCATTAGACTAAAGTCTGTCAATAAACATTATTCACTCCTTCAACCTTATAAATCGCCTTAAAAAATTTACAATTTTTGTTATTCAGTTTTGTTTTTGAATTATTTTGTTTATTATAAATCATGGTTTATTTTATCAAAACAACTTAAACAATTTAATCCATTTATTTTTTTCAGAAAAAGTATAGTACCTAATATTAAAGTAAAAAGAGCTGCTGTTACAAACATAGGTTGAACGAACCTTTTTTGTTTAATGTGATATATGCAACAAAGGAATTTGAAAACAAACAACTTTAATTTTTATTGAAGAAATAGATAACAATGAGACAAATCATAAACAAAAAGAACAACATTATTTACAAACCAAACATCCAAACGAAGTTCTGCAATAGAGTAAAAGTTAATGCCGTGAGATAGTTTTGGCGGAGTGGATGTCAGTTTACTTTTTTAAAGAGTGTATTTAAATTGTTGCAAAGTACCAGTGCCTATTAACAAATTATTTTTAAACTTTTTTATGTTTTAAAGACCAAATTAATATTTTTAACAATGGTAAAACAAATTCTTTAAAATTCAAGTATTAATTCCCGATACAACAGTTTTTTCAAAACTAAAACTTAAATTTTTTTTTAAAA